CCTGTAATTATATTTTAGTTGAAATAGCATTATCTGCGTTAGTGCGGTACTATTAGTATAACAGAAAAATTGCTTTAAGTAGAATGTGCAGTGTTAAGAAATACCATATGCGCTTTAAGCACATGAAAATTCGTGTCACTATAACTTTACGTTTTCAAAGCATTAGAAAGAACAGAGAAAGAATATTTAAAAGTTGTATTCCAATGTTCCTTATTAAAAGAGAAAACATAAAAGTCAAAATTGGGAATTTTAAATAAGGAAAGAGAAAAGTTTCAGAGTAAACTAATAATTTCCATGGGAAAGGGTAAGGATTAAACAATTAACTTGGTTAGTACAAAGAGAACCAATTAAATAATATCATATACGGTAATCTCACAGTTGAAAAAAGTGTAAGATTAAAAATGGTATAAAATTTTACATTTAAAGAATCTGTTTTTGTCATAGAAACTGCTAAGCCATCGAAAATTTTCAGTTTTTCAATTCAAAAAAGAAACAAATACGTTTGAATTGGAAGTACGTTATTAATAGGTTCAACTCTAAGTTAATAAGCAAAGTTACAATATGTGTAAATTCCAATGACAACAATAATAATTTATCACCATGTTTATACATTATATAGTGCAAGTACAAGTGTCACATTCACAATACCAAAAATGATTTTTAATTTTTATATACAAATGGAAAATTGTTCTTAAAAATGTACTTTAAACATTTTGTAAGCTTTTCATAGTTTTATTCACATATATTATTTCACGCCCTTTAATGATACAAGTTCACTTATATATAACAAAAAGAAAGATTACTCAGAATGCATTTTTTGATAGCTTTGTGAAATATCACTTGTATATGAATTTAAAATAAAATGTAAGATATTTAATTTAAATGTTCATGACGAACTGAACTATTTGTAATATGAAATTTCAAAACACACTTTGTCTGACATACGAATTACATTTAATTACCCATCGAACACTCTCCTTTACTCTAAAAATCTGCAAACCTTATATTCCTAGAATCGTCACAAACAAATTAATTTGAACTCGAGATTATGATTTCATCATTACGTTAAACAATGTTTTTTTTTAAACGCCAGAAATTTTATTCAAAAAAAGCTGTGTAATATGTTTTTATAATTTAAAGGGGAAAAATAAATAAAAATAATTCATTAACTTTCCAAGCATTTATATTAATTATTTAAGTTGAACTTTAGAGTCAAAATATTTCTTAACTGTAGTAACATTATAATTGAATATCTAAATATTTATCGAGAATGAGTATTTTCATGCTTTGAAAACTTCTTAATTCATTTGAGTGAGCAAACTACAAAATACTTTTTATAGATATTTTTTTAATTTATTTATTTGTCAGATTTCTGAGCAGAAGAAAAACTTCATGCAATAAAAATATTCAAAATTGTTGGAGTCCTTAAATTAATTCAAAATATTTATCGTTAGAATTACATTATCTCTTAACTCAGAAATCACAATTTTTAAAATTAATTTTGCAAATAAAAATTTAATCGAATGAAGTCTAAATAAGATGAAATTGCATTTAAAATAATTTTTAATAATTATAAGACATTTTTGTTACATTTATTAAAAAATCTTTGTGAGTTTCAAAGACGAAACTGTTTGTTTTGTCTCGAAGAGAATATTAAATAATTGAAGAAAAAAGAAAGAGTGTTGTCGGAAAATTCTTTTCAAAGAAAACGTGCTTCCATACGACTGTGACAATGAGCGGTTGCGTTTCCCTGCATTCCCCGATGGTCATAAACCACAGGTTTAAACAACATAAAGGGGAAGAAAAAATGATCAAGAGATGTTTAAAAAATGAGGCATTGCCAAAAAGTGAGAGTAAAATTGATTTTTATATGGGGGGTTCGAAAAAGAAAAGAAAGTGTGGCATTAAAAAATAAAAACGTATTGCACAATTTTTTTTGCAGGATAGAATGAATTTGTTTCAGGAAAGTAAAATATGTAATCTAAGCATGAAATATTAATGTTTGTTTGAGATGTGATATTATAATTAGCTTAACTTTAAACAGGAACTCCCAGTAAACTTTTAGTCTCTTTTCTATTCATAACGGCGCAAAAAATAAAGCTAATGAAATTAATTCAGTAAACTTGCATATATAATACTTTCCCTAAGGAGTTGAGAAAAGTATTTTATTTTTAGTTGAAAGCGCTAATTTTCTTCCGTCTGTTTTTACATTCATCCAATGTTTATAAAAACTTTGATTTTGGATTCTGATTTTAAATACGCTGGTGGAAATTATGTAATAGAAGCCTTTTTTATTTACAAAAAGGCTTTGTATGGCTATAAAATAATTTAATATTTACTAACTGTTAATTGCTTCATTAGTTATTTATTTTCGCTTGTATTTGTTGCGACAGTTATTTACTATTCAGATGGATGAGTTAAACGCAAACTGGATAAGCGTATTAATATAGAACGTAGTATGGATAAACGTAGTTTTGTCAAATGCGTTGTGTGTGAAGACAAGTTCATAGCTTCTCAAAAATATCTTTCATTAATTTTCATTCCGTTATTTCTAATTATGAAACAAGCAGAACATGTTTTATTTCAAATGATATATATTTCGAATTTTACTACTGCTAGCAGAGCAGTTCATGTCTGAGTAGCTTGATTTATGAGAAAAACAAATAAACATTTACGTATATCTGCGAAAAGGAAAGGCAAAATTTGAGATTAATTGAATTTAATGTAAGAAATGCATTTTTTTATAATATACAGTGAAATGTATTATATATTTTAAGATAAGTATTATTTTCAAAACCCCTTTACATATAAGCTAACAAAGTAAAATTTGTAAAATTTGTTTAAATTAAACATGAATAATAATACATATTTTTAAATAAAAATGACCATAAAAATATTATTGCTTTATATTAAATATTGGAATATGCATTGTATTTTGTACGGGTATGTTTCTCGCATAAAAAGTTTACCAGCGTACGTTTTGTTTCCAAGGTATGAGTGGCGATTCTATTTTCATATGCTGATTTGAAGGTAATATGCATGTTCAGTGTTCGTCTGAATACGTTTTCATCAATAATCTTAATTACCTTTTTAAACAAGAATAAGACGCGGTAGTATTAGTTAACATTACTATGTTGTACATTAAAATTAAATCTAAACACTTTTCATTAGATACTTAAAAATACGGAATATTAAAATGGAAATACTTATAAAATCACATATCTTTCACAGTTAATCATTATAGAATAATATTTAACTTTGAACAACTTTTGCCGAAAACGAGCCAAATATAATTTTATAACAAGCTGATTCTTAAGATTATTTAAAACACAGCATAATATAAATAATTATAAACTGGATTAGAATAGCGTTTTCCAACAAAATGGTGCGTGTAATATTACTTCTCTTTATCTTCTCTATTTTGAAAACTCATTACCTTTCAATCTAGGCAAATGTCTCTTATTCAAATTATTTTCTTTACAGAAGTATTTTAAAATTTTTTTCGGCTTTTAGAACAATTTTACATTTAATATCCTTTTTTATTTACGCACTGTAGCTTTCCTAACTACCTGCTATCATTTTAGAAATGATCTTTAAATTTTTATTTCATAATTATGCTTTACTATTATTTAAGTATCTTGTGTAAACACACAGTAAAAAATTTTAATCAAAATTAATTTAGTTCTAGCATTCCTTTTCTGATTACATTTAGAAAAATTGAAACAAAGTATTTTTAAAAGAGTTTAATATTTTTAGAAATTCTAAGACACAAATCTCGTACTTATTTTCGATATTACTTTTTAAATTTCGGTCTATAATGCTCGATAGCAAAAGTAAAGACTTTCAAATATATCTCAGGTGATACTGTCTATTCTTACGAGTCCATTTTTAGTGTGTTAGCAATTTACCTTGCTTTCTCTAGTTACCTAGTGCTGTAAATTGCTTCTCAGATGTGCTCATGAAGGATGTTTGGCGTAGCATAATTTTGTCATATTTTAAATTTAGGTATCGTGCAAGACTAATTTAGGAAAGTCTAGGAACACAAGATGTAAAATTGTGGCCCTTCCTTAATTCTTAACTTGCCTACAAACTATTATTAAATTCATACTTTTCAGTACTTAAACTTTAAGGAATATCTGTAATTTTCTTATCTGGAAAAATTAATATCAGTATAAATTTAAACTATATTACTATAACTCTATACTTACTATAATTATACTTACTATAACTCGCATATTTAATTTGAAAAACGTATCTAATTACTCAAATGTCTTCTGCAGTTTGAAGAACGAAAAATATAAGAATGCAAAGTAGTTGAGATTCACAGCATTAAAAGCAACCAGTAAAGGTCAAACAGATTGTAAATTTCCTATCACTCCTGACAGATTGGGCTTCTTCAACACTAAAAATTTAACCCTTTCATGTATGATAAATTCTTTTAATAATTACTTTATTTTTTGCTCAAGAACCAAGATACAAGCATGTCGCTAAACAGAATTATTATACAGCAGTCTCTGTGGCAGAGATTAAGAGAACATTATTTCTCTTAATTTCTGCCACAGAGACTGCCGTATCTTATTTATGCTATAAATCAACATAACCTAGACAGCACTAACTTAAAACAAGTGTTAAAGGACAAGAAATGTTAAACTAAAAACGAATCAGCTAAATTAAAACTTTGCAGAAATGGGCCATTTGTTTCTAAAATTTCATTTTTAACATTATTTTGACAATATATTTAGTCATGTGGGCAAATTTAGTTTTCCGGTAAAATTATTTTTTGTCATACTTTAAATACATAGTCAGTAAGAATTCTTTAAAAAACTGAATAAAATGTTTGAACGTTCTTGCTTTAAATGCAGCAGTTCTGGGTTTATATTAAATTAACAAAATGCGTAGTAATGAATTCGAAAGGTATAGAATAAATATATTAACTAACATATTATAAGAAATACGTAGCAATAATGTACTCAAAAGAAATTAGAGAAAAATTGACTTACATACTACAAAACATACGCAAAGACCAGTAGAAAGAAGTTTCTTTTAGAATGAAGTCCAGGACGATTTCGTGCTGTTGCCAAATTCAATAAAATTTCTACAAAAATTAAGGAACAAATAGTATATTACCTATGTACTAATATACTAATAGTACTAATAATTCATCGTTCTTTGTTGCTCACCAAGAATAAACAAAAGCGCAGCATATGTACCTAAAGAATTAAAGTTTTTAAGAAGAGCTTTATAACTGTGCTTTATGTGCTTATAACTATAATGTTAATATTGTTTATAAAAGAATGCATTTCATTTCAATTACTATACTTATTATAAAAATTATAAGATCTATACGAGAAGTAAAGGATTATTAACAATAATTTCTCAGCAAATAAATTGTTTATTTCACCCAAAATTATTAAAATTTTAATTGATCTTCTTTAGAAATTCAGAATGTCTTAATGACATAGCAAAACAAATGAGTCTATTTATTTTGCTATGGGAAACAAAATGTTTAAAATACATTATCGCCCGCAATAAAATGGATCATTACGATCATGAATAATAAATAATGGACTAATGACCAGTTATCCCTTAGAACTGGCAAAAGAACTATAACTAAAAACAGGCTACCAGGCCTTATCATGAAGAAAAGCATTGAAGATAATTTTTACAACTCCCCATTGAAATTTTGGGAGTTCTAACAAACGTGATGAATACTGTAAACTTATAAAAAACAATTGTTAGTTCAAAAACTTAGGAATGACTATCTTACGTAGTTTATCTCATGGTAAAATTATCACAAATATAAATAACACACAAATATATAAACAGTGATGATCATAATTTTTTTAACTTTCATTACGGGCTGTTCCATTTTTCAGCTGAGTGAGGGAAGGACGCAGGAGAGCAGAGAAGTCTTCCAGTGGCACTTATTCTCTTGGTCAATGTGTTGTTGCATAGGCACTCTTGTGGGTGGGACGACCAAGGTTACCTGCTGGATGTAATAGAGGACAGGCTACCTGAAATGAGAATGAAATTGTTGTGTGAATTGAAAACTGGGAAATTCTGATTAAAAACGTTAATTTTTTACAGAAATACATCTATTTCAAGACGATGGCAAAAACTTTATTATTTTATAATATATATATATATATCAAAATATATATAATTTTGAACTATATATATATACAGTTCAAAAAGTTTGTAAAAATTATAAAAAAGTACAAATTTTAGAAACAAATTAGGAAATAGCTGAGAGCTAAAATTTTGACAGCTAGTTTTTTTAAAAATTACTCTTGCGATTTTTAGAAAACTTGGCACTTTGGCATAATTTGAGTCGTAGAATCGAGATATGGGAAATAATAGGTATGTAATTTTGGGAAAAGTCAGATTTTGAACTGTTTTAAAACAATGATATATATAAATCTAATACACATCCTAAGTCGCACTCCCGAAAGACATGAAAAACGAGAGTTAAATTTCGTCAATCGGCCCAGTGGAACGGGTAATATAGAAATGTCTCATTGGGGGGGGGGGGAAGCAACGTGTATGTATCTCGTATAACTCGAAAGGATTAATAGTACAACACTGAAATTTTGTATATGTGGTTGTTATAAAATGTAGTTGTGCACCTGACTTTTCTATAGTCACATCGTACCCGGCTCGGTGAACTCAGCTTTTTTTTTTTTTTTTTTTTTCTTTGAAAGTAACTGAATTATGTTGTTCTTGTGTTTCGGTTAAGATTTTTACGCCTTTAGGTAATCTAGATGCAATAGTTGTAGAATTATCAACAGTTTAAAAGTTCAAGTGGCGATAGGCCTAACGAGGTCGTCATTTGTTCACATTTGAAACGCTTAGTAGAGAAGTGAATTAAGTCAGTAGACGTATCAACTTCAGTGTCTTTTTCCCCAATGGGACCCAAAGTAAACTTTCAGTTTTCTGCAGCGAAAGATTTGCCTTCCTGCACTTTGGCTAAACTGTTTCTTTTTGAGTAAGAACTCTAATTTTGATGTAATTTTAATTGTAAAATATTATTCTTTTAACGTTATTTGGTGGTTAAGGTTTTTCGAGCTTTTAGCGGAAGTGTTTTGAGTTTTTATGTATTTTAGCCTTGCCGTGAAGTGAGAACGGAGGTGATTGAATGAAAAATATAACTCTAATGAAATTCACTGAAAGAAGTTTAAATTAAGAGCAGCAAAAAAAGATGTATAATTTAACAGACCACACAAGGAAGTCATGTGGTGTTCACATCAGATCTTTTTTTACTTCCTTTACGAAATAAAGGAATATTATTATATAATATATATACATGTTTTATAATATATATCTATATTACATATATTATATTAAAAACGTAATTATTCAAAGTAGTTTCAGGCAATGTGTTGCTGAAATTTGAGGGGTATGGGAAAAAGTAAGAAATTTAGAGCTAATTTTACACAAAGACGCAGAAAAAGGTAGAACCCAATACCAATAAATTTATAAATATACAAAATGAGAATAAAGAAATATGAAATTAAGAGCTAAAAATTATAAAATGCTTGAAAAATAATATACCAGAACCAACTTAAACAAATTGTTTACCCATATTCAATTACAAACGTTTCCATTTCAAATAAAGATAAAACATTACAGAAATGGTTAAACCTAATTAACAGATAAATTACATAGTCTTGAATTAATTTAATTCTTCATTTACTCTTGAGAACAATTCACGAAATCTATTTAATATTAAATTCTTTCTCCACTAAGAGGGATGTGATGTACGATTATTCCTCTGAATTTATTGCATGTATTTATTGGACCTGTGGTTTGAATTGATATCACAGTAATTTATGCTGAGCAGAGGAGAATGGTAATCCATTCCATTCAAGATATTAATGAATAAATCTTACATAAAAGCGAATATGAAGAGCGGAACGGAACACTGAAGTACCTTCATTCCACGATGTAGAGCTACAGAAATGAACTATATATAAGATATTTAAGTACAGCTCACTTCAAATAATTGTGCTAATTACAGAATTTCATTGTTGCAGTGGAGAAAGGATAGGAACAAGATTAAGCTATATAAAATTAAGCTCTGTAAAATTGTTACGCTTTCTGCGTTACATGTTCTTGAAAACAAATTCAAAATTAAATTTCTACATATGTATTTAATAAGGAAGTTAAAAAATTCTTTTTGTGCATTTCAGAGAGAAAGTTAGGAAAGTTAAAGTAAAACAACAGACAAAGCAGAAGTAAATGAAACATTCATTAGATCTTATATATGTATTCATATGAAAATCCAAATCCTCATAAAAATGTCATGTCACGTATGTGAAACTTATACCTGAATATGGCAGCTGGCAACATTAACATACGCTGTACAGAAGAAATATATAAAGCAGTATCATTTGGAATAGTAGTTTATGATGTAAAACAAACGGGTTAAGTGTATCATTTGAACATTCGATGCAATAACTAATTTTAAGAATGCTTGAGCAAAGATGTAGGAATTTTTCAGATCAGAAACTGAGACTGCCATGCCAAAACTTATGTATTTGCTAATGTTTCATCCTCTAAAAATCCTGTTCCCTCTTATTAATATCAGTTACCAAGCTAACTACGGAATTAACGTTTTCAGACAACCTAAGTTACTAAAAATGACACGACAAGCAGTCTATGATAGATGTAAAATCAAGCTTGCACCCAATGTTTCCAAGAACATCAGAAATGCCGGACCAAGTGTGCATGTGTTGCGATAGACGTTAATTTCGATGGTGACTAGGAGATGATTTTATACATTTCAAGGCGCCATGAAGCAGTTTCTCTGAGTTTTTTGAAGCCCATTAGCAGCCGAGCGGTAAAATCGCTGAACACTGGTAATTCCGACATGGACTTGATTCTAGGCCCATGTCGGAATTACTGGCTCAATGGGCGTTTTCGTGGTTTTTCCTATGCGTAACGTGTATACAAACCAGTTCTTCTTAGAAAGTTCTCCATGAAGGCACTCCTCCTCTTAGGCAGATAGCCTAATGTGCTTTGCCATAATAAGCTAAAACAAACCATACTTGAACCTTTTGAAACAGGAATATTTGTTTATTCGCTGCTTATACAACGCATTTATATTTATTTAAAAACTACTGTTTGAAATAGAAGTTTAAAATTTCTGCTTACTTTTAGCTTTTATAATTTTTTTAAATAAAAATAAAATTTTGAATCTAGCTCATTGCATTTTTTAAATGCAGTGTTATCTATGTTCATTAAATAGCTGAACAGCTGTTCTGTTTAATGACTGTTCTTGTGTGTTGCTTTACTTGTTCTTTGAACGTAGATAATTGCAAACAAGCACAAAACTTTGATTTTGTGCTGAAACGCTTTAGTGTCAAAGTTTTGTGCTTGAAGCCGTTCCGTCAACGCAATCCAAGGTCTTTGACGGCAGACAGCATTACTTATACAGAGGGTTTCAACATATCAGCTACACACTTTCCGAAGAGTTAGAATACACCTAGACGATGGAAAATCACATAGTAATGCATGGCCGGAAACGCTTGGCGCGGTAGTGACAACAGAAACGAAAAAAAGGAAGAATACAAACAGTGTGACAAAATATGTTTTATTCTATTAGTACAGCAGAAAAGAACAAATAAACACAAACACAGACAATGATCATCATTTAAGTAGGTGTTCGAAATTACGACTCAGGGACCGTGATGCAGGCCTCTGTCTGATCTCCGGCGCATGGAAGATCGCTTGGAAGGTATATGTCACACGGTTCCTGAATCACGGTCCGGGTCGTAATTTCGAACACCTTCATTGATCACGATCGTCTGTTTTTGTTATTATTTCTTGATTTAGCTGCACTAAGCATAATAAATGTATATTCTCAACCTGTTCGTGTCCTTCCTTTCTTGCGTTTTGTGTCGTCACTACCGCGCCAGGAAAGCTTTTCCGACCATGCATTGCTATGCGTTTTTACATCGTCTAAGTCAGCTGTATCTCTCATGAAAGTTTGTAACCGATTTGCTGAAACACTCTGAATGTGGCTTCAACCATAATCCTTTAAATATTTAATGCTACATTGTATCGAGTCGTAGAAAAGGAAGAACTCTTTTTCTGCTTTTTATTTTCCCATTAGCCATGTTATGCCCTTTTTAATTTATTATTATTTTTTTTCCTCAGTTTCCTCAGTTTAATTCAGGAAATTAATGTACTTATTTTTCAGGGTTCACACTTATTATTAATGGATTATTATTCACACTTATTATTATTTAAGGAGCAGCTGTGGTCTTCTCCATTACTAGAAGAATTAAAATTACCATTCATTATTTGAATTAGGGAGAATATTTTAACTTCAAGCTAATTTGTTCATATTTTTATATCTCATTGAAAACCTTTCATTAATTTAATTAAATGTTTTGCTTATTATTACATTTCATTAAATTAATTTAACCTTTTGTTTATTTTTATATTTCCGTCTTGGAAGGGAAACGTTTTCCCCGATTTTTTGTGATGATTAAGACCTATTTTTACATCGCTAAATCAATTCAGAACAAGGCATCCAAATGATTCAAATGAGCTTTCTTGAAAAGTAAATTATATGGTAAAAGGGCAGTAAGATTCAGATATCTGATTTGAAATAATGTTATGGATATGAATCTGAAAATTAATACGTTTGTCATAGTTCATTATAATAATTTACATATCTTTTTGCCGTCAAGTAGTTAAAGTAATTTTGCACTTAATTTAAAAAAATTAAAACAGAAATATTTCCTGTCAACTAAACATTTAATAATACAAATAAATGAAATTTAAGGAACTTTTACCTTGTGTTTAGTTTCCTTCCATGCACTTATATACATACAAATAATTTCAAAGTCCTAAAAGCAGAATATTTTAAATGTTTACATGTGAGACATTATGAACAACCTGAACCCTGAATAACTAAAATTGAGATCAGGCAAGATTTAGTTTTAGATTCACATTGAATTTCAACGATAATCACAAATTTAAATC